CACACGCCACGGCCGCACACGGGGACACAGCACACGCCACGGCCGCACACGGGCATGGAGAGCACGCCCCTCACACCGAGGTCTGCAGGGCACTCTGAGCAAGCGTGAGCTCGTTCACGACACGCAGTCACTCCATGACACACAGAACACCCAGCCAGCAGTGGAGGAAAGGCTGCTCAGCACCCAGGACCACGACCCTCAGACAGACGTCATGAGTGTCCTCCAGGGAACGGAGGGCTCCTGGCAGAGGATGGAGGTGTCCTTCCCCCTGCCCCAACCTCCCCGAGGCCTACGGAGCCCAACACTAGTGCAGAGAGAGAAGCTTGGCTCTTGGCCGCAAGTCTGCTGTCCAGAAACGTAGCCAGGGCTGGCCCCAGACACATGGGTGGCCCAGAACGCTGCGTTCCCAGAGTGTTGCTGCAGCAGCCACAGGGTCCCTCCGTGCACACTGCTTGGGCTGTGATGGGGGGAGGCGCCGGTGCGGGGCCTCGCACAGAGCCGCTGCCCAGGCCTGACCCGCAGGGGCCTGCTCCAGTGGGGTCCCACCCTGGGGCCTGGCAGTGGGTGCTGTGCCCCAGGATCCTGCGCTGGCTCTTCTCCCTGGGCGCTGCTGCGTGACCTTCAAGGGGACCCTCCCTGAAGGAAGGGCTGGCAGGGGGACTGGCGGGAGCCGGCCTGAGGCTCTGCACGCTGCAGCCCCTGGGCAGCGGGCCAGCACCCGGCGGTCGTCGGCGGAGGCCCAGCCCTCTCCAGCCCCATCCCAACCACCTCTGCTCAGCTTCCTGAAAAGAACAACGCAGACACCCGACTCCAGGTTAGAACTCAAGTCCCATCACAGGCAGAGTTAGGATTTCATGGCGCCAAGGAGGACGCTTCCTGGTGCGTGAGACAGCAGCTTGGAGATCCGTACGGCCCACCTCTGGGTACGTTCCACCCGGAAATGATAACATCTGCACAGGGTTTCACAGCTTACAGGGTTCAGTCACGTATATGACCTCACTGAAGTCTCGCAGGGATCACACTTCCCGAGGGCACTGGCCCCCACAGCGAGGAAGCACCAGCAGTGGTTCTACGTCCCGACCCCCACTAGGAAGTCCCTCGCTGCCCTTCCTGGATCCAGCTAGGCCTTCGCCTATGTGCTGCCTGTGTGTATTTGTTTTTAAATCAGAGGATCCTTAAGTCCAGGAATATGACTGCTTTGCCCACTGCTCTCCGGGCAGTAAGGAGAAAAGCCGACCGCTGACTCTGGATCTTCTTGTTTGCAGACAGAACCCACCTACCAAGAGGCAGGCACAGAAGGAAGCCTTTGCCACCAGGAGGGCCTGCGTGTACCATGACTGTGGTGCCATCACGGCCAGGCTTCAGTGGGCTCACCTGCAGGAGAGTGGAACCGCGGACCAGCCGCCGTGCTCCACCTGGGCCCAGGGTTCCCACTGCACACCGATCCTCCTCCAGGGGTCCGAGGACCCAGGCCCAGCCTCCCTGGCCCAGGCCTTCACCGGCTCCCACGGGCCACTCCCTCCTCAGCCGGTGCTCTTGTTGGGGCTGGACCCCCATTTTATCCCGTCCTGATAGCACGGAAGACGGAGAAGGAGCCCGACCTGCAGGCTTCTCCCTCTCCCCGAGCAAAACCAACTTCCAGCTGTGAATGCAAGCAGGCCCCGAGTCTGTCGGCCAGGTTGTGGGGGCACAGCCGCCCACCTGGTGCCCCCTCTTCGCCCCCGCGCCTTGTGGGGCACTTCCCGGGCTCCCTGACTGAGAACAGCCAGGCAGATCCAGGGCAGCGCACCGCTCCGGGGTCCCCACACTTCCACACACTCCCATCCCAGGCCCTCGTACTCAGCCACCGGGGGAGAATGCTCCAGAGAGCCTGCACGTCCTCCTGTGCCCACGGAGGGCCTGTCAGAAGCAGAGGGGCGCCCCTCTCCATCCGCACCCCCTGCCCACCCGTGCCCTACCCACCGACACCCCGCCGCGCACCTCCTCGTGGGCAGGCCGCCCTCCGTCTGGCCGTTGGTGCCGACCTGCTGCAGCTTGGCCCTCTCGATGTGCTCCACGTAGGTCTGTATCATCTGCGGGGAGAGCACGTCAGTGCTGGCTCTGAGCGCGCCCTCCCCGCCTCTGCCCGCTGTGGGCTTTGGACTTGCGGTGCCCCGGCTAACACGCTCTGGGGGCTGGTGGTGGGGGGCCAGGAAGACCCCTGGGACGGGCCTGCCATTCTCGGGGCAGCGCCCTGGCCTCTCGGGGTGCAGACTCGGGCCCCGGGCGGCACGGACCTCCGTGTGCCGCTGGTGCAGTGCGTTGTACTCCTTCTTCATCTCGGACTCACGCTCCTCCAGTCGGGAAACTGAAAAACACAACCGCACCCGGTCACCGCGCGTCTCTGTGGCCGCGGGGGCGGGGACGGTGGGGACGGTGGGGACTCAGGGGCCAGGGCAGCCCCAACGGCGCCTCTCAGCCCAGCGGGACCGTGGCGATGGCACGCGTTTGTGTGTGCGTGCGAGCTGCCGGCAAGGCTGCCCTCCGAGGCCCACACGGATCGGTGGTTACCAGCCCCCGCAAACTGGCCTCCAAGCCTTAGGACAGGGCAGGCCCACCACATCAGCCAATTGTTCTTTCCCGATTTGATGGTAACTTTTCAGAGACACGAAGGTACCTGCCATCCGAGACAACTAGGCAAAGCAGTAAAACAGGTCCCGACCGTCAAAACCTCTCATGACAGAGAACTGTGACTACACTGAGTTACTTTCAGCAGACGCTTGAAAGCTAACGTGATGGTCCTCATCAAAATAAGAAACACCGCTCTTCTCTCCTCTCCTTGATGGGACCCCCGCCGTCAGCCCCGGGCCCCTTCTGGGCACTGGCACACAGCCCAGGCTTGCTCAGTGGACCCAGCTTCCAGGTCAGGACAGAGCCCCACCCGCCCGCCCCGTTCGACAGCATCACAGGATGAGGACACCAGGTGGGCAACGGGGTGCTTTGTTCCGAAGATCGCTAACAGGCCACAGGTTTGTCACTTCCAGCCAGGCTGCAGTCTTAGAGGGCTCTGCAGTTGCAGGGGGCTTAGTTACTTATTTCCACGGGGGGTCTCGGGCAGGTTACAGGAGTACCAGCCCTGTGCAGCCATAAGACAAACGGCTGAGGACACTGGTGGGTCTCCCCTGGCTTTTCCCATCCGGATGAGACGCATGCAGAGGCCATGCGCACCGCCGCTACTTACTCTGGTCGGCATAGTTCCTGGCCTTCAGCTCCAGCTGGCGTGTCTGGAACTCGCAGTGCTCCACCTGGACCTGCAGCTCCTTCTTCTCTTGTTCCAAGGCGTCTTCAAACTCGATGAACTTCTAAATGAGAAAGGAAGGGAAGGCGCAGGTGAGCCTGGGTGCCACTGGCCAAGAGGCAGCAGTGGGTGGCAACCACAGGGGCCTGCTCCAGGCCCGTCCTCGGGGTCCCGGGCTGCGGGGACTGAGAGGTTCACAGCTTCTCCAAGGCTAGGGGACATCCCTACATGTCACACTGCCTCTCCCCACGTAATGGATGGAGCTGTGTTCCCCAAAAGACAAGCTCAAGTCCTAACGTGTGAGCGTGACCTTGTCTGCAACGGTCTGCAGAGGTTATGAGTGAACGTGGGGCACACTGAGCAGGACGGGCCCTAATCTAACCCGAGCTGAAGAGTCAGAGAGGCACACCGAGCAGGGCGGACCCTAATCTAACACCAGCTGAAGAGTCAGAGACACGGGGAGGGAAGACTGTTGGGAGAGGAGAGGCGGAGACCGAGGGACAGTGCCTGGGGCCACCACCAGCTGAGTTAGGCCCTGCCGAGTCCCCATCTGCAGGTCCCGGCCCCCAGAACCGTGAGAATCCGCGTCTGCTCTCACGACAAGCCGCCCGGTGTGGTGCTTTGTACGGCAGCCCCAGGAGGCTCACACGCCCTCTTCAGGCAAACCTGGACACAGACAGCACGTGGAGCCTGCTTTCCACACAGCATTGCCACCTTAAAGGCTCTAGAACCTTCTGAGCAGTGAGCACCCTGGGGCGTTTCAGCTCTCTCCTGTCCAAACGTCCTAAGAGAATTCGGGTGGGAGGCGCAGTTTCCAATCGGGGGCTTCCCGGTGTGAGACCAGCACAGTCATCCTTAGAGGGGCGATTGTGGGCCCGAACACCCTGCTGTTGCCCTCTTGGAATTTGGAATTTTCAGGAATTTCTGAACAAGGCCCTCCCCCCTCCCTCACACCATGCAGTGGGTCCTGTTTGCAGCAGAGAAATAGTACTCCTCTGGTGGCGCAGTGGTTAAGCGCTCCACTACGACCCAAAAGGTCAGCAGTTCGAATCCACCAGCCACTCCTTGGAAACCCTCTGGGGCAGTTCTACTCTGTCCTGTAGGGTCGCTGTGAGTCGGAATCTTAATATTAAACACAAACGGGGTGAAGTCTCCTTTTTTGTTGGTCTGTGTTTCAATCCCGACTCGGCTGAGGATGCCATTAGTACTGGAATAACTAGCAACACGAAGTATTGTTCCTGTTCCTTGAAAAAAGGGGAATGGGTCCAGATTTAGGACACCCTGGGTGGTACAGACGATTAACGTGCTAACTGAAAGGTTCGTGGTTCAAACCCACCCGGAAGCACCTCGTAAGAAAGGCCTGGCAACCTACGCCCAAAATATCAGCCATTGAAAACCCCGTGGAGCACAGCTCTGTTCTGGCACACGGGGTCGCTGTGAGTTGAAGTCGACTCAACAGGCAATTGGTTTTTGTTGCTGTTTAGACTTGGAATCTTGACCTTACATTACTTAAGTTCTTGAGCAAAATGAACTCAACCAGGTGAAAAGGGTAAGAGTTCGGCGGCTAACCAAAAGGTCGGCAGTTCAAATCCACTAGCCACTCCTTGGAAACCCTACGGGGCAGTTCTGCTCTGTCCTACTGGGTCGCTGTGAGTCGGAACCAACCGGACAGCACCCAACCACAACACAACCAAGTGAAAAGGAAGCACTTTGCAAAAGAAAAGACACCCTGACAGGTCGGGGGGCCTGGAGAAGCCAGGGGCCTGGAGGGGAGAAGTCAGCGTTTGCCACCAGCCCCCACGGCCCGGCAGTCCCAACAGCCCCAGCAGTCCCCACGGCCCGGCAGTCCCCACGGCCCCAGCAGCCCCCACGGCCCGGCAGCCCCCACGGCCCCAGCAGTCCCCACGGCCCCCGGCAGCCCCC